TTCCTGGTGATGACAAAACGTTGTACATTTGCTGTTATGTTAAACTTATATTAAAGTTTTTTTTCTTCATTACCCATTTAAGCCGTCTCCAGCCATTATTAATTTAAAGTTTATTTTTTTACTCTTCTCAGTTTTTTGGTTAATAATTGTTTGATACTTTGACAAATGATAATTGATTAATTTACTGCTTAATAATATCTAGACGTGACCCTTATAACAACTAAAAAATAGAAGAAAAATATTTTTCATGAAAAGTGATCGTTATTTTATTACTTGTGGCACTATTTTCCAACTTCTGTGGTAAAAATGATTTCTTATTTGACATAATCTAATCTCTTATAATAGAAAATAATTAAACGTTTCACTGTTTAGTAAATGTGTTCCAAATTCAGTTCACTTTGGCTTATGTTTTCAAATCTTTCAAACGATTGAAGGTAGTCTTGCTTTGCTTCGAATAAACTCGGTTGTTGTGTGTATATGAAGCTAAATATGACTAACTCAGTGGCTCAGCTCAGAGTTTCGATACTCTGTAGCTTTGTGCTTAACTGTTAACAAAGTGTAGTTTTCTTTTCATAATTCTAAGTCCTTACTTTGTTAACGTGCTTTAACAAGCTATTGAATTAGGCAGTTAATGCGAGAAATTTTAAAACATATTTTCATAACCTTGAATAAGCCACTGGGATGTTTTATTTTGTTTGTTTGTTTGTTTTTGTCTTAACTGAGAAAATAAATATCCCTGATTTTATTATTTTAACACCCAGTCTACGAATCAAGAAAACCGAATTCGAGAGATTGGGTGAGCTACAGCATGGGTGTCACGCTATCCATTATTCAAGTTAAATTTTTAAAAATGTACTCTGATATAAGGCTCGATCTGTTAATTTAAAAAAAAAAACACGCTTTACTGCCATGAGAACTCATATTTTGACAATGTTCGGCTACGAAAATGCGTAGCTTAGGTGGTTGGTTGAACTATATTCATATATACAAAATAGTAGAAGTGTTCATGTTCAAGCAGATCCACCTTACAACAGTAAATAGGCTTTTCTGAATCTTTCTCTGCCATCTCTATCGACAGAACTTGCGAAAACCCTGTAGAAAAAAGGGAGAAAGAAAAACCAGATTTTGTATTGCGCAACATGTGCGGTCACTGCCGTATTTTGTGTAGAATATTAGATTGAAATATAGATTTTACTCTATCATAGCCTGGAAATTAGTGCTAGTTCGGCCACGCTGGTGGCCAATTCAGATTCCAGATATCGCAAAAAGTTCAAGTCTCTATTCAGGATTTAAAAAATAGAGAGAAAGAGACTCTTTTAATTTTTTCCAAGAGAAGTTGGCTGAGACAGACTGCCCAGTCACCTTTGTCCAAGTTCTGACTTTGGGCGAATCTTTCATATCTCTCCAAGAAAGCATCCATGTTATCCTTCTGTTCATCAAATTTGGGCAGCTTGGGTCGGCTGGCCCTGACCCCATTGTCATTCTCGTGTCCTTCTTCTTTCTGTTGGGTGAGCTTGATGATCTCAATTTGTGCTCTTATTCTCTCTATTTATAGTTTGACATCTTCTGCGATTCCAGCGCGAAACTCTTTGAAACACAGAAAATGAGTTGTGCTTCAAACAATAATAGCTTTCTCCGAAATCCTTTGATGATTCTGTAGAGATCACAGATAAGGTTATCCTTTCCCGGAAGTTTGAAATTCACTTCATTCATGTGGGATGTGATTTCAACCAAAAATGACAACCTTCACAGCCAGGTAGGATCTGACAGAAGTGGATCAGCTCTATCCTTTTCGGTGAGAAAATTATCTATTTCTCTTCGGAGCTTATAAAAACGAAACAGGACTTTACCGCAGCTGAGCCACCTCACTACTGTGTGATAAGGCAAGTCACAGAATTCAGAATCAATTTCGGAAATGCAGAAAACTTTGCAAGACTATAACCTTCAGTGGAATCAGCTTCAATGTGTTACAGTTGATGGAGGAAAAAACATGGCTAGAGTGAGGAAGGGTCTGGTGGGGCAGATACGAACTAAGTTGGAAGATCTTCAACTCCCTGGCGCTCTGTTTATACACTGCATTATACATCAGCAAGCACTTTGTGGGAAAGACTTAGATATTTCTTGCGTACTGAAACCAGTCGTTTCTGCGGTGAACTTCATTCGGGGTCATGCACTTAATCACCACCAGTTCCAGGCTTTTCTTGAAATGAAAATGTCTTCTCCAGTTGTTGTTCCGTGCATGCTGCAAACGGATGCCAACTTTTCTGTGATCTGAAAGTCCAAATTAACACCACGAATGAACACGAGAAGTTGTGAC